TCCTTTGGCAGCCATTCCTGCTCTCTTCCAGCTATCAGTCTTGACTGTCTCATTCTTCACTTGCCTCAAAAACACCTCTGCAGGTTTTCTCTACTGCATCTTGTATCAGTGGTGCCTCACCCTTGAAGTGACCATCCTATCTTGCAGAGCCCTTCTTAAGAACCACACCCAGCACAAGCCTAAAAGAAATGGGCTCTTGTGGGCTGAGGATTGCTTACAGAATATTAACAGTGGAGTAAGGGCCACGGTGGCTTCTTTTTAGTAGCAGTGCAGAAATATTTTGCAAAAATACACTGATTTATTCACTCCATTGGGCTCTCTCTCCAAATGCTGTGAATACAAGAGTCCAACAAATGCCCACAGTCATGCCTGCGTAGTCACAGGTTGCCTCCTGTTAGCTGAGGGCTTATGGTATGTCTAAGGGAAAAAGAACTCCTTGTGGACATGTCTTTCTTCAGCCTTTAAGTCAGATCCTCTTTCACATTAAACAGTGTGCCTTGTGGTACCGTGACCCCAACCTAATGTTGCTGGAAAGACTATTTTTACTTATGCCAGCAGCATGACAAGGCACTATAGCACATGGCACATATGTCAATAGATACTCCAAATGTTAAAATTCTTTTTCCTGCCCTCTCTGCTCTCCTTCTTCACAATACGTCTATTTTCCTGCTACTTGGGTTCAAAACTCAGTGTTTTTCACAGCTCCAAGACTCCAAGTGAACACCATCCCTTCTCCATATCACAGCACTTCTTGGCATGCCCTCTGGGAAAGAATATCTGAAGACAAAGCCCTGTAGCTGCATATGGCAAGCTGCTATAGGTGGATTCATATTCCCTTTTTAAAAAATAAATAAATTTAAAAAAGACTAGTTCAGCCCACAAACAATTTTGGTTTCACACAAAGGGCAGTCCAAAATGTGGTTCAAGTTACAGACACTGTGGTAGCGCATGAGCCAGAGAGCTGAAAGTCTTTATTGCTTTATTTCATCTCTTATGTGGTCAAGATGAAGAAATAGTTTTATTTCACTAATCTTGTGGTAAACAGCGTTTGCTGTGGCAAAAGTGTGCAGCAGAGTCTGCAGCTGGGTCAGTCCAGGTGATGGCTCAGCCCTGGCAAACCCGGGATCACTCTCACATGTCTGTATCAGCTCCGCAGATCTAAGGGGGGAAGAACTAACACATACTTATGGTGCCACTGAAGCCAAGAGACAGAGCTTTAAAACACACCCCAGGAGCAGTTCTGTTGAAGGAGAAGGTGGTAAGTTAACATCGGCAGTTTCTAATCTACCATAACTATTCTCTATCTAAACTTTTGCTACACTGCAATAGCTATAAACAACATAGACAATAAAACTTGCAGTAAGAAGGTTTCCAACAGCTCATCCTTTTGTCTTAAAGCAATATTTTAAAGTATAGATCAGGTCTGAAAGCTCCCTCATCTTTGTCAAAACTCTCCTCTGGATCTGAGCCCTGCGACCGAGACCATATTTTATAGTGACACTCATGTTTCACGTGCCACTGGCTTTAATTGTACACTATGGCCACCAGACATCTGGTTGGAGGAGTGGAGGGTGAGCACATTCAGAGACCATCTCTTGCCTGCCACGCCCGGTGCAATTGCAGGCTGGTGGTAAGGAGAATTTTAACACAAATATCTTTAAAAAAAAAAAAAAAAAATCTAAAAATCTCTTCTGCTTACACTGGCTGTATAACACTGAAGACCAAAACTGACATTAAAGGGCAGGAGCAATCTGCTGCTCCCAGGCGCTCTGTGACCAGTGAAGGCCTTAGAACGGCTCATTAGTGCTTCTTCAATAATGGATTCTGCACTGCAAGATTAATTGCAGCCATGTGCTCTGTCACACCCGCCACAGACTATTTAAGTTAACAATCCAATCAATAACCTTTTTCAAACAAAGGCAGGGATTATCTCAAGGAAACAAACAAAAAAAAAAAAATAAGCAAAGACTCCTTTCTTAAAACAAATGTGAAATTATTTATACAGTGTAAAAGGAATTTTCAGCCAGTTTCCAATTCTTTCCCTTATCTTTCCTGTGTAGTGGTGAGCTTTTTAATCAATAGCATAATGAACACCCACAGGGCTCCTGGCTGTATCGCATCAGAATTTATTCCATAAAGTATTCAGGTCTTTAAACAACTATAAATACATATTACAGATACAGTGACCTATGTCACAGGAACCCCATCCAAATAATGGAAGTTTTACATGCAAAGAAACTACAAAATTTCCTCCTGCTAAGACTGAATAAAGATTGTTGTGACCGTTGCTGTCATTAGACAGAATTATTACCATTATTCATACAAAAGAAGGGAAAGGTAACTTATAATTCTATTAAGGAATATGATTTTATGTTTATGATAGAAAAAGCCATTATTTGTCTGTCTAAGAAGGTACGCTTACAGATATTTAGTATCATCAACAGACAGATTAGAAAGGGCCCTTAAGAACCCAAACCATCCAAGCACACCAAAAGGCTTGGCTCTGCCAGAATCCCAGGGCTCTAGGAGCTGCA